TAGATAACATCTCAGTTTGTTTCATGAGAAACCTACATATTGAGATTTCTGAGTTTGATTTTAGACTTGACGAATATGAGAATGGTTTCAGACACTGATCTCTTTTGAAATTATACACGAGACACTTGAGATTATGGGGTCTTTTTCTCAGAAGAAAAATGTGAGAAATCTGCTCTCCATTTCAACTCATTGCTGTGAAGAAGAATTGCTGTCAAGTTTCTTTTTCTGTAAAGCACTACAGGTAAAAAGGGTAAAAATGTAGCTAGATATCACCATACTTCCCCCAGTTGATTGATTACATTAAGAACTGCAAACATTTACTGTATTGCAAGTTTTCTGAATTGACAAAAAATAAATCTGAACATTGGTTGAAGAAAGGTTCAAAATTCTTGTTTCATTTTGTTGACATATTACAGTTAAAAGATTTTACAAAGAAGATTTTGGATTTCTTTTTTTTTATCACACCGTAAATCAAAGCCAGCCAGAAATAATAATAATAATAATAATAATAACAATAATAATAATACACTCACCATGTTTTTATAAATAAAATGTTGTATAAAATCAGGCAAATGATATATGAACAGACCACTCTCTAAAAACCTTCAGAATACTGACAAGAATAAAAAAAATCATTCTTGGAAATTGGCCTTTAAACATATTGAAATCTACAGATGCAAATAGATAAAGTACGATAAAATAAACACCAAAAGTGTATTTAAAATGTTTTCTTTCCACTCGTCTGAAAAAAGTTATGAAAAGCCAAATAACCAATAAACTGACCAGTGCATACACTCTTAAAAATGCTGGGTTAAATACAACCCAGCGCTGGGTAAAATAGGGACAAACCCAGCGATTGGGTTGTTTTGACCCAGCGGTTGGGTTACTGCCCAGAAGGTTGGGTTAAACATTTAACCCAACTGTTGGTTGAAAACAACCCAATTGCTGGGTTTGTCCATATTTTACCCAGCGCTTGGTTGTATTTAACCCAGCATTTTTTTAGAGTGTACAGTAAATGAGTGCAAACAGAAGTTTCTAGCTTGAAACCTCTTTTTCACAAATTCGCCTGCCCATCCAGTCCTGATGGTTAATGGTAAACAAACTTGCTGTCGAGGCTCAGCTTGAGCCCTGAGTTCAAACCCCCCAATAACAGAAATAGAGGAGGAGATGGGGAGGTGGAGGGACGCTGGAAGAATTTTCACTGGGACAGCGTAATGAGTGCAGCTTATATAGGCTTGTAATGATGCAGGACTGAAAGATTAGGCTCCTCCTGAACCTACGTTTGGAACTTTGTTTAAAGTCATCAAAATAGACTCTCTATACACACACACACACACACACACACACACACACACACACACACACACACACACACTCTTTTTTTATGCAGTCATTGCATAATTCCAAAGAAATCCATGATTATAATCTTTCATCAGAATGTTATAATTTTCTCCGCTTCTGAAATGGTTTTCGTCTCCTTACAACTACGTCACATTTTTCATATATTCGCAATCCAATCAGTCTTTTTTCTCACTGAATATCCTGTTTCTTTCCTTTCTAACATTATTCCAGCTTCATCAGCTTCAGCTTCACCAAACTTCAACATGTTTTGCCTTTAAAATCTTTTAAATCCAGATCAGTATTCCTTATGCGTATCCAACCCTACTTTGATGTTATCATGTTATTCAAACATTTCAAGCAGGTGTTCCTTCAAGCCTGGTTAAGGGACCCTTTCTGCTCCAAAGGTGCATGACTGCCTGACTTTATAAGGCACTTCCTATGTGTGCGTACGATGACATCATATCAACACTAGAGTGGTTGAATGTCTATGTGTGTGTATGGTGTGTGTGTGTACAAGAAGCGGGAGTTGGGAGGGATCTGGCAACGTTGGAAAGTTCATTGCCGTGTTTCTATCAACACAAGGCAATCTGAGCTCAGATCAGCTCAGTTCTGTCTCCACACCTGATTGCAAAATGAGGTACATCGAATGACACAGAAACAGACTTTTATTTAAGTGACAATGCATCCTGTTGGAAAGTCATTTCAGGTGGACAAAACTGTGTCTTGGCTGGGTTAATGTATAGACAAATTGAATAGCTTCTAATCCTTGTAAATGCATGCTGTTGCATGACAACTGCATACACATTTACACACAAACCCAGTGCACAGTTATCGATTCATGCGTGCATGTTCACCTTTGTGTGAATCGCCACTAGTACAATGTCAAAAATCAACATTTTGTTCGCTCTCCTGCAGGCCACGACTGGCCTGCTGGAATGTGTGGAATGTTCTTGAAATTATAAAGGGATTAAAGTGAGTCGGCTCATCCACGGCCAAATATCGGATGATAAGCCTGTTGGGTTCGGGGGGCCAAGGCCAGACACAGAGATTTGCAACACTGTAACACAAGCACATTTTGTTCCTGCTGCATTCCTGCCTCTCAGCTCTGTTTGTTTAGCACTTTGAGGGTTTTTTTGTGTGGTATTGTGGTAAAGCTTCACCCTTAGTGTGCACGTTACAATAGTACAAATAGGCATGGAGTGAGCGGCCAGATTTTATTTAGCACTTTAAAAGTATTTGTAGAATGTATTGATTACAGTGCAGCTCACTGAACAAAAAAGTACAACACTGTTAAAAAAAGTCTTTAAAATAAAATCACACTGTGAAAAAAAAACATGCTTGCCCTGATTGTAGCTTGTATTTAATGCAGTCTGAGATGCATTTTCTATTTTCCTAAGTATTTTTCTTCATTGTGTTTGAAAATGAGGCGCATGTCACTCAATTTGTCCATATTAGCCTGTCTAATTTCAGATGGATTTGCACCGAAATGCAATAGAGTTTGATTGGACCCACAGCTTTTGACATCAACAAGAAAAGGCAAAAAAAATGTAAAAAAAACCAAAAATGTCTTTGGCATTATGTTTGTCATAATTGTAGCTTGTATTAAATGTAGCCTGGGTTGCATTTTCTGTGATCTTAAGTAGTTTTCTTCATGTTTTTTGTGGATAAGGGCATGTTATATGAGTAGCAGATGAATTTGCACCAAAATGCAAGTTTGATTTGGAGGGCTTGCATGTTTTGGAGGGAATGCATAGTTATGTAAGCTGCATTTTATTATTTGCATTTAGATTTGAGTTTTCACTGTCCACAGCAGCCCTGCGACCCGACTAAAATCCTACTGTAAAGATGCATAAACATTGGGATGAGATCTCATTATCTCACATCCACCTGGGCATCTGGATAAGACTGAATCAGAGGTGTATTATACAACAGCTGTTGTCTAACCCTGCACAGATCATAATGAAGAGACATCACCCATATCCATCTAGCTTGCAGACAATATGGGCTCCATCTCGACAGGCTGGTAAATATAATGTAGCAGTAAAACATCACAGTGTTCGCTGTGCGTGCTTTCTTATCAGCAATGGAGCCACCTTTATGTCTGTCGACTGTCTCTGTGGATTCACCGGGCTGTGGGCCCTTATTTCTTCATTCTGTGCATTAAATGTCTCTCTTTGCACTTCTCACTGAGGTTCTTTAGCCTTGTATGGTCTTGTCTGTCTGTTCAGATTCAATTCTTGACTCTAAGGACTCTGGACTCTCATGCCTGTCAGCGGCCTGTCTGGTTTCAGGTACCTAATGTTTGTTTGCTGTGATGTCTGCCCCAAAGCCACATTTTAAAATACACTATGGTTTTATATTTAATATTTAAAATGCACAAGTTTGTTTAAACCACGGCTCTGAAATAAACCCCAAATAATCGGTTTCTGATTCAGTTTTGTGTTTTTAATAATAGAGAGGAAAAGGGGGATTTCAGTTTTAATAGCACTTTGCTTTGGGAAAAATAAAGTTTCTATACAGGGAACACTGAAAATGTTCAGGCTAATAATCTGAATTCTATTTTTCAACTATTCTATTCTATCAAATTCTATTCTGTCAACAGCCAGGAAAAAAAAAATACATGAAGGGTTCAGATGCAAAAGCCTCTAAGTGCCGTCTGAAATTTTAGTCTAAAATTAGCATTTTTCACAGGCTCCTATTCAAAGAACCTATTCATTGCTATTAAAGTGAAATGACTGAACCTACACATAGGAGCCAGAGAAAAATGCTAATTTTAGAACAAAATGTTATATGGCACTTAGAGGCTTTTGCATCTGAACTCTTCACATGTTCACCATGTTTTTAGGAATAAAATAAAATCAGGCAAGCGATAGACGAACAAACCCCTCTGTAAAAACCTTCAGAATGTAGATAGGACTAAAACTGTGAAGTTTGATGTATGAGGCTAATAATCTAAATTCTTTAAGTATAGAAATGCATTTTTGATAACTGTAGTCGAGTAGTGAATGTGTGCTGTTTTTAATGAAAAAATTATCATTAAATATGACATAAATATATTGTTACTATTTTGATTATATTATGTAATTTTTGTGATTATTTGTATTATTTTATCCGTGAAAAATGTTCTAATTCTTATTTGTTGTCTCTGTGGATGACAATTAGGCTACACACTGAAATGCAAATAGTGTTTTTTTTTTTTCCTGAAAATTAAAAATAGTGAAACATGAAAATGCCATGATGAGGGGATTTCTTCTCACTGTGTCTCATGGTTTGCTTGAAATAGGCTATACTGAAATCAGCAAGTTTTAGGGGTTTGACGTTTAGAAAAAATACCATCAATTCCAAAAACCATTGTGCCTAAAAAAAAAAGCCCTCATTCACAGTGAAAACAGGTGTGTGTGTGTGTGTGTGTGTGTGTATTTTTATATATATATATATTTTTTTTTTTTTTTCAAATCAAACTGCATATGTATTTCCATATAAAACATGTAGAGTAAGCAAATGCACAACACATAGAGGGTAACAATAATGCAGAGCCGCTCACAGATAACAGCAGCGTGCGCACTGTGTCTTTAAATCCCGCCTGAAAGGGGCGGGGCTTGCGCGTCCTCTGACTACAGTGAGCATTTAAAGCACCGCGCACACAGAAGACCCGTTTGTGAACAAACCTCTCAAGTGCTTTAATGAATGTCCTCTAGCATCTATAGAGCTCAACTAACGCTTCACAACGGGCCGAACGGGATCATTACGGCATTATGAACATTTAACACCGGACACCTAGAATCTGTCAGGAGATTAAGGTGAATTTTACTGCGTTTGTCGCATTGTCTGTGTTTGTGGTCTTTCCGTGTCTCTCTTTCTCTCTCTCTCTCTGTGTGTGTGTGTGTGTGTGTGTGTGTGTGTGTGTGTGTGATGATGAACTTTGGCAGCTGAGCTCTCAAAGTAGTGAGCTTTAACATAGCCAGACACAAGTACATATGCATATGTTTGTGTGTAGGATGCATCTTACTGTATAATCAAATGCAGCAATGAAAACACAACACGTCTCTTTGGGCGACTGCTGTATGATGATAAACAAAGCTGTGTGCATCAGAACTCATGACATACAGACGGTGCATGTC